GCTTTGTCTCACACACACGCAGAGAGAGAGAGAGAGAATTGACGCGCTACATGTAAACAATATTCTTTGTTTTATTTTCCTGTCAAAATAACGGAGTTCCTTTGGAATTTTTCAGCTTTTGAGAAATGCCGGGTTTTCCGGTAGTGGGCAGACCTAATGCATAAACGACAATCTCATTGGCTGGTGCTCACCTATTATTGTCCCTGTTTAGATTTCAGCAAATCAGTTCGAGCGAACGCACACAACCTGATTAATATTCATGAATCCAGAAGCTCGATAATCCTTGGTGCGCTTTATATTGTTCTTATTAGTAGAATTCGTATAATAATAATACCTTATCAGTATTATTGTTAGTTTTTTATTTTTTTTTAAATTTTTTACAGGAACACTTAATGACCAAAAAAGCACCAGCACCAGTCCTAAGTTCATGGTTATATATATATATATATATAAGTATAGTATTTCAGTCTGGCGAGTAAACAAAAAAATTTACTAGCCAATGGCGATTCAATTGCCAAGGTGTCCGTAGAGGGTTGTTACATTAATGTTGCAGCTGAACTTCTGTAGTGAAATAAAAAAATAAATGAATAAAATGTGTGTAATAAATCCTCATAAAGACAGTAAGATCTGTGTGTGTGTGTGTGTGTGTGTGTGTGTGAAAGAGAGAGAGTGCAGGATGATGATATATATGATGGTGTTGTTTTGAGGAGGTCACTATAATGGACTCTTGATTCAAGGGAAAGGTGAAAAATGAGGAAGTCTGGGAACGACTGAATGAGGCAGCAGTTAGGGAAGTAAGTGATCATCAGTGGAGGATCTGAGGATCTTCAAATGCAAACTCTGTGTGTGTTGCTTCAAGAGAGCAACCATACATTTGTGTTGTTCTTTACTTTCTTTCTTTTATATTAATTCACTCATTCATTTATAATTATTTATCATATAATCATTTTATTATTCCATTTAATCATATGATATATAATAATCATTTTAACCATTTATACTCATGTCATTGATTCGTTCATTGATTACTCATTTATATTACTATTGTTTTTTAATATTATTTTTCCATTGTTGTTTAGTCTTATGATGTGTGTTTCAAGGGATGTTTGTCTTCATGAATAAGGGATAACAGGGAACGTTTATGGGAATTCAAAGTTTATGGGATGATGTTGTGAACCAGTAATTTTTCATTGCTACCCCTGTTGAAAAAACCAGCATATGCTGGTTAGGTATGTTTTGACACTGGGATGCTGGTTTAAGCTGGTCCTTTGCTGGTTTATGCTGGTC